ATATCCTTCGACTAATCTCTACAATACCGACATGGTGATTCCACCATACGCGTATAATGCTATAAAGGCACTAAGGTCAAACACCTATAATCTCTTTATATCTTTTGCTGTCGATCGTCATAGTTTACATGGTGGTGGCTGGCATTGGAATCCAGGACCCGCGTTTCGCCCTATTTAGGAATGATCAGCTGGATGTATCTTTATCCTAGTGAATGATGACGTTCCCACCAAGACTCAAACCCACAAACATCGCTTCAGACGCCGAAACGTCATCTAGTAGGCCACTGAGATATGAAGGTCACTTTTGATGCAACGAGCATAAGCTATCATTGTTTGCGGTGACTAGGCCTTTTGCGTTTTAAGCAATGGATTCAGGGTTTCAACCCTAGTTGGAACACCATAAACCACTTGGGCGTAAATATAGCAGGCTGAAGAGTCCCAAATAGGGCGAAACATGTGTTTTGAAATACTCTGTCAGCCACTGCTAAGTAAAATGTAACAATGACCATTCATTTAACGCCGAGGGATCCACGTAGGGGCTCATATGCCAGCAATGGTTGATCAGTTCTATCCAATATAACAACGGGAAATTATAATTTTCAACAAATAACAATTTCAATGGCTATGTCTTACAGCCGTATGACAGGACAGAACGGACAGCAGTAAGAGATACTCGTCAGTCAACAAGTAGTTCAGTATTTCGCCAGTCGGCAGATGACGCAAGTTGGCGAACGCCGAATGAATCTTCGGTAACCCAGCTGAGATTTCGTCAGTCCGTTCTAGCTGATTAAACTTCGTCAGTTAGTGAACAAGATCGGTACATTCAACCATTTTACTTCCTATCATTAAAATGGTAGTAGTTGCAGACCGGTCCACAGGCGTCATCTTATATTTGAAAGGTGTTTAGAAGACCCTAGATCTTATCAGGATCTTCTCTGAGCGGGATTATATAGTCCGTATACTTCAAGTCGATCATATGACCTCCAGGAAGTAGTTCTATCCCTGTGAAGTCAAGAGTACCTAAGGTAATGTCCATAATTACCTCTATAACTAAATTAAGTGGGGACGGTGACATTGGGCATCCTTGGCGGATACCACTATTTGTCACCAATTCCCATGACTACTCTCCATAATCCCTTATTTCGCTGTGTCAGTATAGGTAGAGAGATTTGATTAACATAATGTATCTACTCGGTACTCCTTTTCCAATCAGACACTGCTACAACACCTCACGATCCACAGAGTCGAATTTCTCGTTCAGGTGAAAAAATATAGCAAATGACAGCCATCGGTAAGTATGTTTGTGTTCCAGAACCCGTCTTAGGGTGAACACATGATCAATGCACCGTCATCTAGGTTCGAAACCTGGCTGGTTTTCTCCGGTTTGTTATTCTCGAGCTCCAGTTAGGCGTAGGAGAACTGTCGACTTTAGGATCTTAGACACTACGTCAACCCAGCTGATCGCCCTAGTAATGTCACAAGGAGATTTCTCTCCTTTTTTCGAACTGGGATGACCAATGAAGTACACCAGTCTGCTGGCAGTACCTCTAATTCCCGTACACCGTCTAGGACCGCCGTCATTTTAATCAGCAATTTCCTACGTCCATCTTTGAAAACATCAGGTGGCAAACCGTTGCTGAAAATCTATATACGTTCAATAAAGCTTTCCCAACTTCAAAGAGAGATGGGCAACCGGCATTTATGTCCCATTCAAGTTCAAGCTGGATACTGGCCAACCGGAGCGTTGCTGAAGGCCAGTTGAAATTTGCTTCGGAGTGTTCTACACAACGTTCTAGCCGGATGTCCTGGGAGCTTATCAGCTTCCCATCCTTTTCAGTGATGGTTTCACCCACCATCGTTTTTTTCTTACCGGTATCTTTGGTAAGTCTAAATAGTTCCTGGATGTTACTCAGCTATGATGCCTTCTCCATCTGTCTCGGTTTCGCCACTCATTACTGCTATCGGTCATGGAGATGACTTTTGGTCAACTTGCGTTTGAGTTGCTTTCACTTTTCGTCGTGATCAGAGTCAGCTAGAATCAGTCTTCTCGCGTCAATCAGTTCGGACGATATAACGGAAATCCAATCACGTTCACTTAGTTTCGGATGTAGGTCACCAGTTACCTTGACAGCTGTTTCTACGACAGACCTCATATTAGGCCAGGTTTCTTCAGGATAAGCACTGCTGTCACGTTTAGATAAATGCTTGGCTACTTCCTCCATAAACACTTATTTGGTATCCTCATATTTCAACTGTTCATGGACAGGCTTCGTTGCCTCGTGTTTCCTGCCACCTGTAAGGTGCAGATATACGCAAGCATGTGTTAACGCGTGGCTGCAATCCAGGTACTCCAAAAAGTGTGGCAATCCACTGATTATCTCCAACGACGGGTTATAGCAATGTGATCTTTCTGTGTCAGTTGTTAGTTTGATGTTGGCTGACGCCATGTGAGACAGCGTCTCTCCTTTTGCTTGAAGTTAGTACTAGCCTGAAACATGTGTTTGTCGGAACAAAACTACAACAGATTATGATCGTTTTCAGTTCTTTAGAGCGGAATTCCGTAAATACCCCAAAGATGCTTTTTTGAATGACTCAGCTTCCCAAATTGGGCGTTAAAGTTATATGCGGTTATGATTACACATGAACGTTTTTCATCTATAGCAAACTTGACAGATTCTCATAAAATTCATCTTTTGCATCATCTGAACTAAAGTCACTGGGTGCATAGGCGGAAATTACAAATGGGCATCCCTTGGTCTTACGATTTTCCGTAATTCTTACAGATCCGTTCGGTCGATCAGCACATAGACGGCTGCTGAATGGTTTCCAGTCGAGAAGTGCAGTTTCTCCCCTACAGTTTAGTGCTGCACATTCATAAAGAAGTTTAAGAGAGAGCTAACCACTGAATCTCTGGATACGCATGAAGCTAATTTTGGAGACTCCTCAGAATGGGCAGGTGAGGTTGATTTAATAAATACACTTGGGTTCTGTATATGTGTCTTAGAAACAGCAGACATCTATACCTATTGTCCGATTTGGTATAGAGTTCAGACGTTTAGGGGTCTAATTTAAGACCAACAGCAGATTCCCGGAATGGTGTTTTGAAGACTGGGATTGTGGTCAGTGGTTGCAGAGTTAAAGGCTGAAGAAGTTTTAAGCGGCCTAATATTGGTATCAAAAAGCGAAGGTAAGTAGGGAGACAAAGGTAAGGTAATTAAGTTGTATTTCTTTACTTTTTATATACCACTGGGGGCGTGTGGGTGATTGACACATTATAGGGGCTTACATAGTGGAAGTTGGTCCTGAAAGACAAGGTTTATTCCATGGTCGCAAATTACATAGGATATCTGCTTAAGGCCAGTCACGTACTGCGTTTTAATAAGTTTGAAATTGCAGTCTTCTTTGTTTTGAATGTGACTATGATCCCATAACACCGGCATCAGTGTTTCGTGAGATACAGACATCAGCACAAGCTTGGAACTGCAGGTCATCCTTGGAAAAAATATTACTTCTGCCGAACCCCATTCAGTTAGCAGTACAACGGAGCCCTAAGACCCCTGTCATGGTGTGGCATTTAAGACTACAACGGTAACTGCTTCTCTACCTACCAATAACCGATAGACCTTTCTGGCATGGCAGGATCGTGAGGAGAAAACGTTCCAGTCACCGCAGTTCTTCGGGTCATTGATATATAAACCCGACCACCATGTCAAGACAGCAGCTATCGGTCAGAAAAAAATATCACCGCATGGCTACATAAAATGTCATTCAAGTCGAGGAAATAAAAATGTGTTGCATTTCTTTTGTGTTACCTCAAAAAGATTGTGAGATTCTTAAATATACAGTTTTGATTCACATAACTTAACCTTTAAACTCAAAAACGTCCTTGATTTTAACCTGTATATGAACTATTGGAAATCTTATTTTTCATTTGGTTTTGCTTTCTGAACTTGATGTCTTAGAAGTAGAGCCTTTGGAAACGATTTATGAGCTGTCTATAGACTAAATGCGATGAATATGATAGATAATGTACTATCAGAAGCTCAGTTCCAGAAAATGTGACATTATAAAGCAGGTAAACTGCCAAGAAATCTAAAACTGTTGTGAATATTTGCCAAAATATCAGCCTCCAGTTTTCAATATTTAATATCTTAATGTATAGTAATGATGGGTAGTGGCTAGCAGTAGAATCTAGGACGAGCATTTTGTCCCATTCGGGACTCGCCAGCTGGATGTGCCTGCCTCCCAGTGAGTGATGTTGTTCCCACCGGGATTCAAACTCGGGAGCGATCGCTTCAAACACGAGAGCGTTACGCCAACAGAGACTGATCAATTCGGTACAACCAACAAGCAATAGCACTAAAACTATACCTGTCGCACAAGAAGTGGCTATTGTGGCTCGGTGGTGTGGTGGATAACGCTCTCACGTTTGAAGCGACCGCTCCCGAGTCCGAATTTCCGTGGGAACAACATCACTCACTGAAAGGCAGGTACACCCGGCTGACGAGTCCCAAATAGGACAAACTGTGCATCCTAGATTCCACTACTTGCCACTACAATATCATTACTATACATAATTAAAACACAGGCGATATCGAGGTATCCGCAAAGGAGCCCATATGCTAACAGAGACTGATCAATTCGGTCCAATCAGCGACCGTGTAATACAAGCAATAATATCTAATATCTTTGTCTAACCTCTTCATGATAATCCAAAGCACTTAGTTACATTGATGCTTCTAAGCTTGACTGACTTACTATGTGCTATAATTATCTTACTGTTAGGATGATGAAGAATGTAGCGAGTTCTGTAGATTTGTTTTTTATAACTTGAATTTACTCAACGTAGACTTTATTTCTATTTTTTTGTCAGGGTTCAGTCAGAAATTGTTTGATTTCAAACATGAGGTGCAGCATTCCATCAATATTATACACTTTTCATATAAAATTGAAACTTATCAAGTGTATTCATTCAATTCAAAATAACATTTTTCACCTACTCGACATATTCCACAGTGTAGACTGTATCGTTTGCGTAAATGACGTTTCTGTTCTTTGGTTACTTGGCTCCACGGTGACTTCCACGAACAGGAATCAACGTGCGCGACGTTTGATATATAAATACCTAGAACCAATGAAAATGGAGAGCAGTATGGTTATGTATGTATGATTTTGCTTTGTATGAAGCGACAACATGAGACAAATCAAACTGTATGGAATATTTATTTGGCAATGGCATAAAGTACTCAATCGGTCTCTTTGAGGTTCTTATTAGATAGACAACTGTTTTACAAGGAGAAAAGCAAAGACGAGCTACCGGATAAAAGTTGAAATTGAAGCATTCAATAACTTTTTATGGCAGGTTTATAGGATATTCTCGAAATGAGTTGTAGGAATGAGTAGTAAAACAGTCGCAGGCTAAGGGACATTTTGTATCTTTAAAAAAAATTTATTAACTCAGCAAACAGACCAACCCGTTCTTTTTTATTCGTCTAGACGAAACACAGTGTAAACAAGTATGCGGATCAAACAAAACTTGTCTTGGAAATAGTATTCATCCTGGACTAACATCAGTTGGGGAACCACTGAAAATCTGGGAGCACTGGATAGCTGTTTCGTCCTGGTATGGGTCTCCTCAGCAGCACGCACTCACCACCCGGTGCTCCCAGATTTTCAATGGTTCCCCAACTGATATCAGTCCATGATGAATACTACTTATAAATTAAAAATTCCCATTCATCTCAAAAACGTGTCTTAATTGGGATGCAAGGTAAAAACATTTATATGGATCTTTTTGATATCGGAAAATACACCGAAAAAACGCTTTGAAATGGCTACATTAAAAAAGACACAATGATACCAAGTTTACACATAAAATTCTTGTCCAATGAAATCAATTTCAACATTGCTTAGAGTTATTTGACGCGTTACCTCTGGCATAAATTTTGTTCACCTTAACGTTTACCTAACAGAATGTATTTAACTTATTGAAAACTCACTATTGAGTAGGGATACTAAACTATACCAATCACCTCCACAGTTTCAATATACAATAACCAATGACTTGAGTCATTTTTGAAATTGTTTGCTGTGTGATGATATCCACAGATTGGTGAATAAATGGAAGTAGTATTTTATCTCTTTAAGACTACTCGACACCAGACTCACCTTATGAATGCATTTTATCGGTCTTTGAGGTTGACATGTGACCAAAGTGCACTTAACTTTTTCCTAAATTCTTAAAACGTTGATGTAGCAGTGGTTTCGTGAAGGATAGGACTAGGACTAGGCGAACTACTCAACTAAGTTCAACCATGATGTTCCTGAATTATATTAGATCTGTTGACAAAGTCAATTTTTTATATTGATGAGGGTTTCATTGATTAGTCATATTTTCACAGGGTTCACTTGAGGCTATTTAATAACAAATAAGCATTGTAGCTATCTGAGATTTGATATTTCTGTGCAATAACTTCATGTCATAAATAGAATAATATATTGATACATAATAATGCTATCAGTCCTACCTTTATCAACTTGTTATTGATATCGTGACAATAGAGAAATATCTGAAGCTTTGAAGAGGCTACTTTTATCCTACTCTAGTTGAATTTAGAAGAGTACAAGAGCTGTTTAGTTGTCAGTTATTACTAATAGCCTTTGTATCTGACCTAAAACAAGGGGTTGTTGGTTCAAATCTTGGTGCATCTCAGACTTTCATTTCACTTCGAATCATTACACAGTATCAGTACAGGTCTGCTAGATCGTGGTTATTTCAGATAGTCAAACTGACTATACACAGAAGTGTTAGCTGTGAATCAACTAACTTAACATGGAAGTGAATAGTGAGGAATAATTTGGTTAATTATTGGGAGCCAAAGGCCTTCACCTCATGCTTGTAAGCCCTCAACTTTAACATCCGAGGTTTCTAGATTTCACATTCTATATATTGAATGTCATTCAAAACAGAAGAAAAGACACCAGGACACTTCCAACATACGATTAGCTGCTGTAAAGAACATGCATAGTGTCGACTTCTGTGATAGAACTACTGGATAGGGCCCTAATGATCATCTTTTGATGATTTATTATTTACCAATGTGAAATATCCACAACTTGTTAGAAAATACTTTGAGTGAATTCTAGACTTAAAGATGACATTACCACGAACATCCTTCTTCAGCTATTTGTCGAAGTCCCTGAGTAGAACATCCTCTGTTGCAAACATCCGTGTTGCGTCCTCATGTCAACAGTACATTTGTTAGTGGGTGAAAGACAAGCTGGAGCACTTGACCACATCAATGTACATTTAAAAGTTCATTCGATCCTGTGGAAATGAGTACGTCTGCCGTAATATGTGGTAGATTAAAAAACACTCTCGTATGCATTACTCAGACTGGTTGCTGAGTGGTGAGCATAAAGTCATCTCCAGCTCCATCGTTGAACATATCGTGGACTGTGGGCATGTGGCTGTTCTGTGAACCTTATTCACAGTTTTCTACCAGGTTCGACCAAACTGTTGTTAAGGGGTGAGGATTACATGCTTATATAGAGCAGGAGATTTAGTGATTCACAGTCTCAAGATGCGAGCCATGTACAAGCACTCTCCTTACCGAGGTGTGAATCAAGTACTCTCACCTTTCTTTGTATTTTATTTTATTTTATGTTTTATTTGTTTATTTATTTACATATTTTGTCTCACGTTTATATATTTATTTTTGCTAAATGCCAAATCTTACTATTCAATACACTTTATAAAAACTGTTCAGATCAAGCAATACGATTTCATGCTTTACATTCACCTATCAATTTAGTTTGACTTTTAACCGGAACATTTTTTGGAGTATTCTATCACTTTACCTATGTGTTTACGAATGTACAGCTGTGAAAAGTATTCGTTTGAAAGATTATTATTATCACTGTAACGACTGGTTTTGTTTTACAATGACCAAATGAGGATTTTTTGTAATTAGAAGTTACTTGAACAGTTTTTGATTGAATTGTTTACTATCCTGTGAAGGGATAACAATGTCTTACATGAAATCCAAATGTATGCTAGCTTAAAACTTAGCTCATATGAGAACTCAATTGGTTGGTCTTACTCCTGAGCTACCTAAGCTTTTGAATTAAACAAGTAAAAATTTGTTGTTAAGTAGTGTCTTTATGAAAGTTGGATAGTCTGTGAGATCAATTTTACCTAGAAGAGAAGAGGGGTGGTTACTAATAGTCATGGGTATTGGCTGTGGTATAAATATTTGTGAAGAGATCCATGCTTCTGGCCATACAAATTAATGGTGATAATTTAGTCGCAGCAACTTAGAAGTTGAATTTTCTTTTTTGCCGTAGGCGATTAATATCCACAAAGCATACATAAAATCCCACGCGTTCTTTGTTTTTCATTTAAGTTCTTAGCTAAGCGAAACTAAGAAATATTTTTAAAATGATTAAGTTTGAACAATAATTAACATTTATTTTCACACAAAATAGTTGGTGCATTTACCAAATATTCGTTACGGTGGCAATTCCTTTTTTTAACAAGACATGTAAGCGAATAACATTGTTTTCAATTAGATCTCATCAAGCTTCACTCTAATATACATAATTTTCAACATATTGTAAGGGATGTTTTCGATTTTATCTCCAAGGTGACAGAGGTAAATGTGAGTGGAGAACGTATGACATTGTTAAATGTGTCGTCATTATTCACTAAAGTACCGCTCACTGAGACAAGTGATTTCTTGTGTCAACAACTGATAGAGAAGGAAATCAACATTGGGATTACCGTGTCCAGCCGTAAGGAATTATTTCTTAGATGTACATTGAATTGTACATTTTATCTTCAGTAATGCATATTAGACAGGTAGATGAAATCGCATTGGGATCGCCACTAGGTTCAATCCTTGCAGACTTTTGCTGGCCAAACTAGAGAGTGGACCATTGAAGGATGATATCTCCTAGCTAGGTATGCATTACAGATACGTGAATGACAAATTTAATATAACTGATCAGAATATGGATCAGAACGAACTACTGAGGAAGTTGAATAGCGTACACCCGTCACTTGCCTTCACTTGTGAAGAAGAACAGGATAGTAGGCTAAATTGCCTTGAGTTTCTATCGAGCTAACGGGAAGACGAATCACTTCGCAGGAGCATGTACAGAAGAAACAAACCTGCAGGTCAAAACATACACTACCTTTTTTTCACTCCTGTACGATACAGACGAAATTTAGTGAAATGCTTGATAAGCAGAGCAAGCAAAATCTGCTTATATGACACTCAACAGAGTGAGTTAGAGTGGATTTCGAATTCATTAATGAAAATAGGTTATCCTCACAATTTTAAAAAAAGTATATGAATAGACCAGTGAAAAGACCCGAAGCAGCAACAGCTAGAAAAAACCACTATTCATAATGCTGCAATGTAATGGGGATATACTTAGTGAAATTGTATTCCACAGACTGTTGAGAACCATCAAAAGAACTTTCAATGCATTTAACCTCTGTCTATTGTTTTCTAGTCGGAGATTTGTTCCGTGTCAAACGAAGGACAAGTTGCTCAGTTTCCCTACTTCCATGTTTATTTGCCAGTTTAACTGCTCCTGTGGAGATAGTTATATCGGGCGTACGACTAAGCAACTCAACCAACGTATTGCGAAGCATTTACCTTCGTGACTGCGTAAAGGACGGGTTAAATCTACATGGAGCTCTATTTTGTTGCATCTAGTTGATAGTCATCACAGAGTAGATACGACGATAGCGTTCAAAGTGATTTACTGCATACCACGGAACCTTTCTAATGGAGTTCGAATCTGCCTTTTACATATAGCTGGGGCTATAGGAATTGGAATAAACAACACAAAGCTCTGTATCCAGAACAAATTTGTGCAGCCTTTATCCCTGCCTTGATCAGGAAGAACCTAATGGATGATCATACTTATAAATCTTAAAATGTACTTCTGCTTTTTATTTTGTTTCATTTTGTCACCCCTTTCATACTATTACTATATTCACATCCAGCTCTTATTTATCTACCGCCTTCAACCTCCAGTATCACACAACCATATTGTCCTTTTCTGTTTTTTAGTTTTTGACCGTCTCTCTGAACACCTTTTTACAATTCGTAT